GCCCTCGAATTTGAATCACCCTGTATAGGTCAATTATTACAAATTACACTAATACTATATAATATAATAGGTACTATCATTGAATAAAGAGCTTTATTCAATGATACTATTGAAGTTCAAAAAATTTAATTTGCAACAAGGTATGGATTATAAATTTACGTTATTTTAATCTGCAATAGGCAAAGACAAAGAATAAGGAAGACGGTCAATCAAATCGTATTACAAATAAACACCCACACAAGGTCGCTGCTTGCAAGACATCAACAGCAACAGCAATATACAACAACCCGTTGTTCTAAAAATAACGTAAAATTTTGATATTTGTTGTAAAGGGATGTTACCGAAGCAAGGAGTTGACAAAATAAAAATATACCAGTGAATGATTTTTTTGCTGTCAGCAAATTCTAGTGTTACACGCTCTGTTCAACCTTGAAAGAGACTCGCTAAATGATTTAACATAGGCAACTTACATAGCCTGCTAGTTTTTTTTGCTCGTAAATTTTTGTCTTTTATTATCCCCATTACACAGTACTAGCCTAGTTAACAAGTTAAAAAGTAATCGTAAACGATTTACATAAAGCGCATTTCCACTTGCATTCATTTCCCATTTGTAAGATGCAACTTCTGTTAAAATCGTAGAAATCCGGCCACAAATATGAAAGATAGCATTGCACATGGGCAATCCATTGTTGACGTGCTACTTCAATTTCAGTTTATGAGAAGAATTTCATTTCAATGCTTTTCTAAATAAGAAAGTTGGAACTGCGCATGCGCAAACCTAAATTTTAAAACTAATGTTAGATTTTCCTTTGTTCCAAGCGCCTAAGTATCAAATTTCACTTAAATAGTTCCATAGATAAAAAAGTTGGCACGGCGCATGCGCAAAATAAAATTTTGAAACTGGCGCTAGATTTTCCTTTATTCCAAGTGCCTATGTATCAAATTTCGTTTAAATTCTTCCATAAATAAAAAAGTTGGCACTGCGCATGCGCAAAACCAAATTTTGAAATTGGCGTTTGATTTTCCTTTATCCCAAGTGCCTATGTATCAAATTTCGTTTAAATTCTTCCATAAATAAAAAAGTTGGCACTGCGCATGCGCAAAACCAAATTTTGAAATTGGCGTTTGATTTTCCTTTATCCCAAGTGCCTATGTATCAAATTTCGTTTAAATTCTTCCATAAATAAAAAAGTTGGCACTGCGCATGCGCAAAACCAAATTTTGAAATTGGCGTTTGATTTTCCTTTATCCCAAGTGCCTATGTATCAAATTTCGTTTAAATTCTTCCATAAATAAAAAAGTTGGCACTGCGCATGCGCAAAACCAAATTTTGAAATTGGCGTTTGATTTTCCTTTATTCGAAGTGCTTCTGTATCAAATTTCGTTTAAATTCTTCCATAAATAAAAAAGTTGGCACAGCGCATGCGCAAAACCAAATTTTGAAACTGGCGTTTGATTTTCCTTTATCCCAAGTGCCTATGTATCAAATTTCGTTTAAATTCTTCCATAAATAAAACAGTTGGCACTGCGCATGCGCAAAACCAAATTTTGAAATTGGCGTTTGATTTTCCTTTATTCCAAGTGCCTATGTATCAAATTTCATTCAAATACTTTTATAAGTAAAAAGTTTGCAATTCGGTTTATAAATGGTCGAGATGCGAAAAAGGCACTGTGAATTTTGAATCGATTCGATTCAACTTTTGGCATTGCGTATTATATGGCTAAATCTATGCCCATATTGAATTTCATGCAATTCAGTTCATAACTAACGGAGATGTAAAGGCGATCGAACATTTCTAAACAAAGTTATCGTTCACACGGACAGATAGATGGACAGACAGACAAAGGAACAGACGGAGAGACCAACCGGGAGGCGACAGATAGCAATGCAAAATTATAAACGATCTCTAGGATCGTTAATAAACGGCAAAAGTGTAAAATTATGGAACATGTAAAAAACGGTTTTTTGTTTTTTTTACAATAACTTTTTTTTTAAGCGGTACAGAAAAAATTCCTTCCTTGGTACAAGACTCGACACCATAACGAACCAAATAGCGAAAAAAGTAGAACAATAGCTCTTAGATAAAAAACTAGTAGCGTCGCAAAGTTAGCGGACGGACGGACGGACGGACCGACAAAGTGGCCACAATAGCGCATTTTTTTTTTTTTTTTGGNGTTGGCACTGCGCATGAGCAAAATAAAATTTTGAAACTGGCGCTAGATTTTCCTTTATTCCAAGTGCCTATGTATCAAATTTCATTTAAATTCTTCCATAAATAAAAAAGTTTGGCACTGCGCATGCGCAAAACCAAATTTTGAAATTGGCGTTTGATTTTCCTTTATCCCAAGTGCCTATGTATCAAATTTCGTTTAAATTCTTCCATAAATAAAAGTTGGCACTGCGCATGCGCAAAACCAAATTTTGAAATTGGCGTTTGATTTTCCTTTATTCGAAGTGCTTCTGTATCAAATTTCGTTTAAATTCTTCCATAAATAAAAAAGTTGGCACTGCGCATGCGCAAAACCAAATTTTGAAATTGGCGTTTGATTTTCTTTTATCCCAAGTGCCTATGTATCAAATTTCGTTTAAATTCTTCCATAAATAAAAACGTTGGCACTGCGCATGCGCAAAACCAAATTTTGAAATTGGCGTTTGATTTTCCTTTATTCCAAGTGCCTATGTATCAAATTTCATTCAAATTCTTTTATAAGTAAAAAAGTTTGCAATTCGGTTTATAAATGGTCGAGATGCGAAAAGGGCACTGTGAATTTTGAATCGATTCGATTCAACTTTTGGCATTGCGTATTATATGGTTAAAGCTATGCCCATATTGAATTTCATGCAATTTAGTTCATAACTAACGGAGATGTAAAAGCGATCGAACATTTCTAAACAAAGTTATCGTTCACACGGACAGATAGATGGACAGACAGACAAAGGAACAGACGGAGAGACCAACCGGCAGGGGACAGATAGCAATGCAAAATTATAAACGATCTCTAGGATCGTTAATAAACGGCAAAAGTGTAAAATTATGGAACATGTAAAAAACGGTTTTTTGTTTTTTTTACAATAACTTTTTTTGTAAACGGTACAGAAAAAATTCCTTCCTTGGTACAAGACTCGACACCATAACGAACCAAATAGCGAAAAAAGTAGAACAATAGTTCTTAAGATAAAAAACTAGTAGCGTCGCAAAGTTAGCGGACGGACGGACGGACGGACGGACAAAGTGGCCACAATAGCGCATTTTATTTTTATTTTTGTGGAAATGCGCTAAAAAGTAAGAACGAGTCCATCGCAAGATAAAAGCGCATATTTCTAATGTCTTTATCGTATTTTTTACTGACTTCATAAAACTCTTGGTGGCACCCTCTGTGAGAAAGAAGCTACACTGTTGACCGCGATATTAGTCACAGCTGCGTAGTTTATTTCCATTTCGCCAGTTTACATGCCCATTTTTCAGAACTTCATTCACCACTTTTATTATGAAAATTTTTGAGCTTCACATGAATTGCCAAAATATAGATGAGTATTCAGGCTACCGATCCCATACACTCGTATTGCTTAAAATGCTCCCTAATTTTTGCAATTAATTCCTAAAGTATGAACTCCTTTGACGCATGTTTTCTAGATTTTATAAACATATATTAATGGACAAAATATCAGTTTATATTGTATGGAAACTATGCTCTGTACATCTATCTACCTAATACATATTTTTCCGATCATATACACCCCTTGCTTATGAAATGGTGAATGAAGTTCAGAGGCAATGTACGCCCCATTGAATTACATGTGCATCACCAGTTGCCTATATTCTCTAAATCCAAACCGTAAGCGCCGCTCGCGAACGTTTTTTCCGCTCCCGAGCGGTTTTTTCCGCTCTCGAGCGCTTTTCCCGAGCGCTCGCGATATACCGCTCGAGCACTTTTAGGAGTGCTCGGAACTCGCAAGCGGTTTCGCTTTGAAAAACAACTCCATGCTCGCGAGCATTCTTGAGAAAATTGTAGCGCTCGTCGCTCGAGCGGTTTTTTTAGAACGCTCGACCCAGCTCTGTTTGTGCAGTACCTAATTATTTAAATTCTATTTCCTTTACCCTTTCCTCACTCTATTTCCATTCTATTTCCTTTTTTTCCTTAATTAAGTCTCCTTAATTAATGTTTATCCTGTTTTGACATCAGGATTTGTTTTACCACGTGTTAGAGGAAGGTTGAAGATTAGTACAGGGTCTTAATGCAATTTAGGGCATATCATAGGTTTTGATACGTAGGTAGTTTAAAGTGGAATTCTCCGTAGGTGTGGGTGGCTTTCATTTGAGATTAATATACAGGATATTTATTCAATTTAGGGTATCTTGGAAATTTTGTGTACGTAGTAAGAGTGCTATGTACCTTAAACACATGTATTTTATATTTTAAAACCATTCACAGTAAGTAATATATTTGTTGAATTTTTTTGTAGTAGTCTTTTTCCACAATCACATTGTGCACAAAATTAATGTCGAATGCGATCCATCGAGATCCAGTCCATAACAGTTTTCATATAACAAAAATATTCAGGAGTCATAAAGAAGTCTCGACTCTTGAATATTTGAATTTTTATGTTATATGAAAACTGTTATGGAATGGATCTCGAAACTCCTAGCTCTTTATATGAGACAGGTTATGAGTTTCAGTTTAAACCACGAACACAAACCTTGAACGCACCCTTATGTTGTTGTTGTGGCGAGACAGGCAATGTCCTGGGTCTAAACCATAAATAAAAATGATATTTTATGTGTATTCTTTCTACCATGAGCCCTTGGCGTGAATGTTGAACGCCATTACATAACAGTCTTGGTATATAATTTCATGGCCGGGCACGATACTTTATCGGTGTCAAGTCACGATTTTGAGGGAGATAAAATTCCCCATTGTTATAATAGTAGAAAACTGTTATAATGTAAAATTGTTAAATGCAAATTTGGAAAAGAAGTGTGTATGTGTATTCTTCGTACCATGAGGCCTTGGCGTGAATGTTGAACTCCATTACATAACAGTCTTGCCTCTTGGTATATAATTTCATGTCCGGGCACGGTACTTTAAATATCGGTATAAAGTCACGATTTTGAGAAAGATAAAATTCCCCAATGTTATAAGAGCAGAAAACTGTTATAATGTAAAATGGTTAAATGCAAATTTGGAAAAGAAGTGGGAAAGTAAATGAGTGCATAGCCTGGGAGGTTTTCAATAGCTCTCTCTTTCCTTCCTTGTAATTAATGAAGTCCTTAGGCAATCGAGATTTGAATTCAGATTTCATTGCTTTTGTTGACACAAATCCAGGTTTGCAACTAAATTCCGCTACCCACTTTCGTAGGGTGGACTCGTGCGGAAGAGCGATTTTTTTTTTTCGGACGTATGTATACACTTTAGGTGTGTAAAAATAAACTCCTTCATCTTGTCCGAATAACGTCAGTTTTTCCCAGGCGATATCAGGAGAAAGGATTGAAAATCACCCGGGGCCAGGAAAGTTAATAAAAATACGAATAAATTTATAAATGACGTTTTAAAGTCGTAGACACAAACACAAACAGCATAAGTAAACGTAAATTAAATAATAAAGCAAATTGCCTTAAGGGGTAGTAATTGTTCCCAAAGGAACGCAAAGAGAGGATGACTAATCGGTTCGGGTTTCAATAAATGTTTTCCGCCGTTTTCTATAATTACTTACCAAAATTGTCGTCACCACAAAAGTCTTATTTTGTAAGATTTCCACTATCTGCGTATATGCCTCTCCATAAGTCCTGGTAAAATTAACGCCGGCACTTGCGTTCCATGTGCCAATTTTTTTCAATCCTTCCCGGCTCAACTCAACTATGTCCAATGTGAAATCGCTTCTGAAGCCTTGATGATCGAACTTGATGACGCCAGTTAAACCCCGCATTTCTACCTGAAAAGAGTTACGCATAAGTTAGTAAAATGGTGCGCTCTCGCAAATTAGTCTTTGGAAACCGCACGTTTTAAGGTTAAAGAAGCATAAAATCTAAAAGAAGGGAAAATACGATGACGCTATCAAACATAAAAATTGGAGTTTTTTTAGCGTAACGATTTTTCTAAAGAATACAATTTCCTTTGTGCCGTATCCTCTCTGTTTCTGCGTTTACCAGATGCTTCGTACACCTGGGTGCCTACAGTTAGATAGAAACTTGTAAAGGTTCTCTAAAGAAAACAATCGAACTTAGTTGGATTTTCAGTTCTCATTTAATTTAATTACTTAAAAATTCTGTCTAGCAGTGGTTTTAATATTCACTTTCGTGTTATTCTGATACAAACTTCAATGTCTAACAGCTAAATGAACTGAAGTGACTAAACTGTGACTTTGATCGATCGCGATATTCCATTATGAATTTTGACTATAATAGAGTCATGTAACTACTGAATTCAATCTAACTTATTTTATTGTAAAATTGACCTTTTGGGCAAGTGTAATTTGTTTGTTATGTTCTAAATTTACTAACAAGCAAACATGTTTCCAAGTCCGGTCGTTCCCACTACGTACAAAAATTATACATTTTTCTGTGGGAGCATTTATAAAACCGTTTCTTTCGAAACACCGTCAACTAATTTACGTACGGTCATTAAAAACTTGCCTAACGGGCACCACCCCTAAATTAGCACCCCAATTTGTTACTTCGGCAAAATATTGTGTTGATTTTCTGCTAATCTCCAAATTTTCCGTTGGTAGTTGCAACGAGAGGGTTATGTTCACCGTACATTTTTTTGCGTTATACTTAATGAAAATATGCGGAAGAATAACTGCTTCAGGTTTAATGCAGTCAAGGTTTCATTCATATTCAAGAGTAAACAAATATTTGTAAAGTCATGTTCAATGTTTTATTTTGTCGATTGGAGTTTAGCGAGCTCTCTCACAACCAGCGCCCCATTGCCGGGGAATGGTATCGTGTTACGTGTTAAAAAGAGGTACTATAAGGTTTCATAGCTAACGCTGCGAGGTGGAATTGTCTGCGAAGAAGAGAAGTACAATTTCTGTTATGTCGGCATTTTTTTAGACCTATGCAAATTAACGAAATATCTCCGCCATTGGTGTCCATTATGAAATAGGCGTTTTAAGTTGAGCCCTGGCGGTTGAGGGTCCCGTTTGGTGAGTCAAAAAGAGAGATTCGCGTCTTCTCCGTCAAGGGGTAAAGATTAGAGGTTTGGTCAGTACCGCGTTTCCAAAAGCGGCGTTTAGAGCCTCAATAATTAAACCTAGCGTTCGAAATATCCGAGCTTCAAAGCGAATGAAAATCGTCAGTTCCAAGCGATAGTTGTGTCCATACTCCCAGTAACTAATAGCACAGATTTAAATATACTAATCTGTGCAAATAGTTTCTTGGGAAGTTAGCATTTAACTCAAGTGGAAAAATGTATGAGATCATTTTTTGGACGAAGAATTTGCATCAAAGGAAAATCCCAATACTGACCTATATTAATGATTTAGGGTACTCGGTAGCCTCGGTCAACTTCCGGAAATTCCAAAGGATTAACTGCACAAATTTTCATTAACACCTGCGACAATTCTTGGATGCGAGAACAGAAATTTGACTCTGCCCGGGTCGCACAAAGGATTCGAAGAAACCACCCAAATAATTGATTGACACTAACAAAAATTTATTCCGAAACACATGAAAAGAGAAATTAAAACAAGATTTCTGAAAAAAAGAAATGCTTACAAAGCTTGTTTGGAAAAAATTCCCCGCACGCAGACGTTCAACAAACAAAATAAGAAAAAGTTACACTATTTACACTTTTTTTCTGTTTTAATCATTCTAATAATCTCACTATTCAGACGGTACAAAATTTTAACTATAATAACAAGAGAATTGCACTTCCTTCTGTACAAAATTACCCGAAAATAGCCGAACAGCGTAAAGAAACGGACACGCTTTCCAACCGTCGCAAAACAGTCTGCTAGCAGCAGCCGCGTTTCTACTGATTCCTGAATTTAACGAAACACGTTCGGCAATTAAATAATCTCCTTTCTTAAAGTCTTTCAACAAACCGCCATGGATAATTAGACTTCGTACCAGCTTCGAAAGAACGCGTCGCGCATCCCCGCTTACGCGGAATTTAATGGTCAGATTTCGTTGCGGGGTCCAGCATTCGCGACCAGCCGTCACGTCTAGCAACGACAGCCAGCCGTTGCAGTCACTTGTTTTGCTTAAAACAATTGGCGTCTACGTGTTGGTGGTCGTTTCAGGAGCACTAGCAGCATTTATTTTAATAGACGATGAAAAAGATGCAAAGTGTACAAATCTAGGAGCCAAGAAGGTTATAATCGAGTACTTATCGCAATGTCGATGATGTTCAGAGGTTTTTTTAGACTCAATATTTTGTTCTGTCTCCCTTTAACGTAATGACGTAGTCCACAAAATAGAGAACATAATGTAGATTTAGAACGTTTTTGCAAATTTTCTTCAGTTTTTTAATTTCCAAACAAGCCTTACTTAAAAAAACAGCGTAATATCAATGATTCTCCGCTTGAGCTTATTCAAAGTGTTGTTGACGTTCGCATCCCGACATGTTTTTCAAAGTGGAAACGTGGCCGTTGACGACTGCCCGCTGCGTCTTCCAGACAAGCCACATCATTTTCACTAGCACAGTATTGTACAAGTGTCTCACGACTGGACGGGTCGAGAACGCTGGACGCCGCAAAAAAATTACTTCTATAAGCGATAAGAACACGTGTGTTAATTAAATTTCGTCCGATAACAAACCTCTTATCAGAAACGAACAGATATGCCTACGTTAAAGCATTATAACCAAATTGAATGAATTACAATAGCGATACAAACAATTCTAAAAGGAAAAGCAACACTGAGATAACAAAACATTTTTAGTCGGTACGGATAAAAAACTAAAACTTTTACTTCAAACTTCCCAAAATTAATGAAAATAGGTGGAGGTTAAAATATACTCAGAAACCCTAAATAAAACAATGCGAACATTACAAGAGGATTAACGTTCATTAATATTTATTCTCAAACAAGCAATAGTATCATGTTAGATTTGATACTAAGAAGATCACTATTTAATATTAACATAGTGTAATATTGACTATTGTATTAAATTCACTGCCTACCTTACTTGTTGACAGTTGACAGTTCAAAGGGGAGTTCTGAAATTTTGTGTAAATTACATTAACTAAGGAGCTTTACATTTATCGAGAAGTAAACACGCCCTACAATTTATTTCTCTCTGAAAAGGAAAAAAAATAGCCTGGCTTTGTTTGCAAATTTCATTCATTTTGGCTACATTGTTAGGTTAGAGATTGATGAATTACAATATAATTAGCATTTTGTTAGTGACCCGCCCACAATTCTTAGAGCTTCAATGGGTGCCTACGTCACCTTGCGTAATGCGTATATTAATTAATCGCTTTATCGTCTCACTTCGTCAATAAACACGTTACTTTTTCACGTCCGCCCACGCAGCTAGGGTATATTTCACAGTTCGCTATGTCCAAAATATTTGTTTGTCGCCAGTAATATCGTGTTATCTCTTTTGTTCGATAAAATTACTATCAAATCCTTGGGATCTTTGTTTACAGCGAATGAGAGTATCATATTCCGTGCCATCTCTGTGTGAAGATCAATGTAAATAACCCACCCTTAACGCAGCTCGTATATGTAAGCTTCTTAGATAATGATTTCATGCCCTTACATTCGTTTGCGCTCTTAACGATTTGACTAAAGCAAAACTGCTTACATCGTAGTTCAAAGCATGAATCATAGCACAAAGTTTAAATCGAATTAGCAACCCAGCAAACCAGGGATAATTCGACTGTTACCACTCCGACCTCATGATCCGAACAGTCTTTTGCGCCACCTAACTAAATCGCTATAGAAAGGAAGTATGAACATAATAATGCGGAGCCATAAGCTATTAATCTCGACATTTTTACAAAATTACGCACTTAAAATGCCACACGCCTCTCAGTTTCCAGAATAAAAAATACGCCTAAATTTTCCGGCCATAATTGTAAATTTAATATTAAACAGGAAACCGCCGTTCCGACCCAACTTGGTTATTCGCGTTCACGTTTCGTGTAGCAGATACAATCTGGAAAACGAGAGATACAATAATTGCCTGCTTCCACGACGAAATTCCTATTAAGAAAGTTGAATTGTAAGTTCACCTATTTTGATGTATCAAATCTAACCACGTCTCATTATAAATAAGTGCAGGAAATTTGTTTTAATTAATTTTAAACGATTCCATTAATTTTTTCGTAATTTGTGGACGAAAGATAGGGATTGTGGCAGGAGACTGTTATAAAGTTGGCAACGAGTTTGGCAACTCTTTTCTAGTTCCCTCAATTAGTAGGAAATCGCAAAAGTTTTTCGCTTCGACTAAATACCGACGCGAATGCAATTACTTAAGAGTTGTACTTTGAAATAGGGTTAATTTATAAGTAAAGGAACATCGTCCTTTAGACGTAGGGATTTTCATTTGAGGTAGTTAATTGAAAGAAGCTGCCCTAAAGGGAAGCTTTTATATCTATGGTGTCTCACCTTCTTTTCCGTTTTTTATGCAGCAAGACACAATTACGCATTCAGTATACCATTAGCGTACAAATTTAGTGTATTATAAAAGTCGCCATTACTTCCGTCCAATATGAGCCAATTTAATAATTACTACAAGCTTTATGATCCAATAATTTCAACATTTGTTACAAGAACGCGCCTGCCTACGGTATTTTCTTTGCTATTCACAATCGAGTGGCAATATGTCCGTTTCCAAACTTCTGAAAGCTTCAGTGAGATGAAAGGCACACTATTCGTTGTGCCCCAAGGATACTATATAATATAAATAGTATCCTTGGTTGTGCCCAATTTCGAAATCACATGGCCAACGTTAAAAAAAGAAAAGTCTTCCTGTTCGGCAAGGAATATTAGCTCTAGTTGGGCGATTAAAACCGACAGCCACAATTATGCGATATTGCAGAACATAATTTTGACAAGGGAGAAATACCACGAAATAAAGTAAATAACTGTTGCACCTAATTGCAACCAGGGAGGTTAGTTAAATAATTATTCTCTCACATTTGTAAGTGGAATGTAATTGTTATGTACTTTTACTTGACTTAATAACCCAATTTACATTTAAAAGCTTGTTAATTGCTAAGGTTAAGTGGTACAGGTGGAATTAATTGCTGTAGATGAAACTAGGGACATGATTACATACGTTGTTTAAGTAAAGGTAGTATTTATCCCTTTCATGGCATTACTTCCAAACCGTTTATCAACCTTGCTAGTAAATAGTCGCAGTTGTAACTTGGACGAATTTACAACTCTATAGTATATTGAATCACGTCGCATCACCGCATCCGCAATTTTATTGTTGATTTTAATATTTAAATGCAAAAACGAAGCTACATCAGTTATAAATTATTGTATACTCTGAAATTTAATAAATGAAAAAAAAACCCACTAGAATGGAGGTACCTTACACCCTTTATATGAACACATCGCGTGTCCGCATGAAATTATTACTGGCTTCCCTTCATTGCAAGTCCAGAAGCTTTTTGCGAACGTAGTCAGGTCGCCCGAAGCAGGAAAAATAACTTACTAATGCCTCATTAACGAAATGTTTATCCTACTTCAAGAAAACAACGTTCGTACCTGAAATGTGAATACATACCAACAAGCATGGGAAGCACTTTGAATACGTGGCAGTTTCAAGGGGCGGTCTGGGGAACCGAACGCGAAATTTTTCAATTTTCTTTGAACTAAATAAAGTTTTCCGTGTTACCAATGCTATGTGGCAATAAAGCTCTTTTATATAACCTTTTCGAAATAGTCTTTCACCTTTCACAATTAAACGGTTCGATTCGAATGAAAACTCTTCATACACACTCGGTTCGATTTCACCACCGAATCTAATTCATCAAATTTTACTCGCCTAGATGTCGTCTAGTATAAAAACAGTCACGTCAATCATCGCAATACTGGTCACCTGTGAGGTGTACACAAATTATGCTATTATATTTTCATCTCTATCGAGCCCATGCGAAGAAAAAGACATACGTTTTGCAGTGGGTGTTTTTTATACTAGTACGCGTGCGCACAACTGCGATTCTGCAAAAAAACGAATGTTTTGTCACAAAAAACGCTCTGGCCTTAGTCTTTCCCGCCCACGCTCCCCCCCCTCCAGGTACGCGTCCACCACCCGACCTGCCCCAGGGTTTTTGCGGCATTGGGTAAGATATCCAATCTGCGCTCGTATGAATCACAATACTGCTGCCACTGAACCGCATTCGGTATTTTGCCATGTGACCGAATGTGATTGCAGTATTAAAATCCCGGCCCGAATGCACGTGTATTGCTATATACAATGGCACAAAACCAATCAAGCAGGTTTATTTGACATAAAACATCCAGGCTGCAAGAAAAAGAGGCACTCAGGGGCAAAATAATACATACCACGCAAACAAGTGATCGACAGACAATTAATTTTAATAACAAAATGAAGGTATTAATAAAATTTGCTTTAATTAGCAAATCTTATAATAGGTCCTAAATATCCGCTGGTAACTATGATTTTCAAACAAACGGGCGCACACAGCAGGGTCAAACTGATGATAATTCGGAACTTCACTTCGATTTACTGACTTAAGCACGTAGGCTTAAAGTTGGTATGGGAGGGTTCGCGTTAAACGACCCCCCCCCCGCCCTTTCCCGCTATTGTCAATTTTAAAGGTCCCTGATCAAAGTTTAACCTGTGAGTCTCTAGTGTCCGGTTCGGTTCCTCAGGTAGGTTTTGATAATGGAATATTTGTTCAGGCATTACAGTTGTGAGTGGAGTATGTAATCGCAAAAATTCCTAGCAATGGAATGATATTGGCGAAGAACATGTTGTTGCATTTGTCGTAAGCCTAAAAATACTCGGAGCATCTTCATTTTTTGTCTATTTTTTTCCACAAGTCATTCTCTGCTTTTAAGGTTTTAGAACGTTCGACCTCTATTCGAAAAAATAAACGGCATTAGAGAATATTGCAGTTTCCGAGCTAAAACGCCATGCCATGGCAGACCTCTTGGCGAGAAGCGTGTGTCCCTGTTTAATCCTTGTTTATTTATGTAATGATGTCTTTTCGTATACAGAGTGGCCCAACGAGAAGTATACAGAGGGCTTTTAGGGTATTAAATTTAGAAATTTCGAAAAATCCTCGAACACGTCAATTTTGTATTCGAGGGGGGCAACTTTTGGAATACAAATCACGAACCCAAGTCTTCACCCCTCTACGTAGGGAGCTTAACCCCTAAAATTTTAAATGGAATCCTATGGCAAATGGAAAATTATTTGAAAGCCAATTTAATCGTGATTACTAATCTGCTTTGCTTTTTAAATTCTATTGATTCGTTTCGGAGATATTCGCATTTGAAATGGTTTTTTTTTCCCTGATTTAAGTCCTTTAGATTACTTCTTGTGGGGATATTTAAAGAATAAAGTTTATGCTACTCCGCCCGGAACATTACAAGGGTTGCGAGCACGTATAACCATAGTGTAAGAATAGAATACACTATGGTATAACTCAACAATTTCGAGCGATTACCCCTGAAATCTTGCAACATGTACGGCAGCGTTTTGAAGCAAATCTTTATTATTGCATGGAAGCAGGCGGAAGGCAATTCGAGCATTTATTGAAATAAATGTTGTCTGTTTAAAGTTATTTGTTATTTTTTGCACAATTTAAACCTTTTTTAATACAAGGTGACTTAGATCGCATTTGTTTTGGTTTTTTTTAGAAAAAACCATTTCAAATGCAAATATCTCCGAAACGAATCAATAGAATTTAAAAAGCAAAGCAGATTAGTAATCACGATTAAATTGGCTTTCAAATAATGTGCCATAGGATTCATTTAAAATTTTAGGGGTTAAGCTCCCTACGTAGAGGGGTGAAGACTTGGGTTCGTGATTTGTATTCCAAAAGTTGTCCCCCTCGAATACAAAATTGACGTGTTCCAGGATTTTTCGAAATTTCTAAATTTAATACCCTAAAAGCCCTCTGTATACTTCTCGTTGGGCCACTTTGTATAGAAGTTTAAAGTAACGTGGCTAAATGCGCTGTGATCCCAATAGAAGCCTACAAAAAAAAATATGCTGCGTTTTAACGTAAAAAAGCTCGATTCGCGTTTCCACCAAAAAGACTTCTTATCCACGACCAGAAAACCACATGAGACAAACTTCTAGGCAAATAATTTCCAAATGTTTAAATCTGGGGTTTTACCAACCCGTTCACACGGAGACAATATAACTTATATGTATGAGTTTACACGTGAAAGTACCTTAGAATTGGGAATTGCCACAATATACAGGGTTTGTCATTTAAAAAATCAATGCCTCCTACTGTATAATATAAAAAGAACGCATAAGTGAAATTCTACTCAAAGTGTGCTGGGATTTTTCCACACTGTAAATGGAAGCAGGAAAAAAAGAAAACAGCCTATAAGAATTTGAAGAAAGTACCTTTAATATTACATTCATTAGGATAAATGCAATGTTAATACCACTCCATCTTGTAGTGTCTCCGATCAAAGAACTGTAATTTTATCGATAAAATTTAACAAGTCGGGTATGTATTCTTTGTATTCACATTTCAAATATATATCTACGCATCGTTAATTACACCTGTAAAACAATGAAATTCTTTTACAAGAGGGAATTTTCCAGCTGCTACGAAATTAATATTAACGTGGATTCAATTAAGTTTGGCGTTCATGTAAGCAGATGAATGGTTTCTCACACTTTAATAATTACGGATAAAAATTCGAGATATATATAAATATCGACGCTCGTCACAAATGCGCAAAACGCTTACACCTCACATCATTTCGTCAGAAACTAAAGCTACAAGGGGAAATCCTGCAAACGTCATTTGAAACAGTCTCTCTGTTCGTCCCTCCGATCGTTTATGTGTACCTATTTATTTGCATTCGTGGATCATGGAAGTATGCAAGCAGAACCTGGTAGTACACGGCAGTACACACTGCGGGACCGGTTAGTACATCGCAGTACACATCGGCAGGACTTAGTAGTACCTAGTAGTATCCGGCAGTACACAGAATTAATGCTCTATATAATTTTTGTAATGTGGTGGAAATGTGGTGCGTTTCACGGTGTTTAGAGTGCTTTTCATGCAAAAAAAAATTGGAAATCACTAAATGCACATTTCTGCGTGGAGGCTCCTAACTAACAAGAGTAATCTCTTAGAAATAAGCAGCTATTACGACACTTTCTTATTTCTTTGGATGTGAAACTACACTGAACAAAAATTCACAGTATAAAAGAGATAAATACTCACGATTTTCATATAATTAATAAGACTGTATCCGTGGGGCCAGGTATCAACGGCATCGCAGCTCAGTGGTTTTATGTCTATTTGTTGGCTGGTGTCCAAGTCGTGCAAAGCTTTCGCAAATAAATGAACGGCGTCGTACATTAGCGCGGTCTCTGCCTGTAAAAGACATTTATGTATTTTGTATTCAAACTCAAATGCATAAGAAAGTGACAAAATAACAGCCATTTACGAATCGAGAAGTACTTTCGCATGTATAGTTATCGATTAAGATCAAAATCGTGGCAACAGTTCCAATCTCAAGAAACGTATACCGTATAGGTATAAAGTAGGTACACTCGAGAGAGCGGCAGAGAATAAAAATTGAAAATGTAATTTAAAGCTTCTTTAAACAAATATTAAATCAGTTTCTAAAATAGGAATTTCTTTTGAAAGACATTGTATAATGAAGAAGTATAAAAAACTAGAAATTAATTTAAAGTAAAATGAATGTGTAATGAGCAGCTTTCAAAACAGAATGACGTTATGGAACGTCTTACTATTCCCGGTTTACAAAATACTAAACAATTATATTTACAACAGATCTGACACTGCTTACATTTTATAGAACCCTTTTCTTTATGTTTATCTTTTAAAATTAGTCGAACCTTTGTGCGCATTTCGTAACTGGTTACGTAAATTTAAAGCAATTTTACTGATTTTTAAATAGGGTTCAAATATATATGAGGATCACGATAGAATTTACAATATTTAACCTCTTATCCAACTTGAGCAGTTAATGAAATCCCCAAGCAACATCGATACAGCCTTATACACTGATATATAGAGTAAATGTGAGACTTTGTCGTTTCGTTTTTCACATGACATCAAGTAAAGAATTAAGAGAAACTTTTCCTTGAAAACAAAATATATTCACAAATTGGTTGTTTGTCACACAAACACATCAATCTCCTCAAAGAATGAGTGATTTCCTTTTTCAGAAGTTTCTAGAACTCAAGGTTTTCAATTCCAACTTTAGAAAAAGTGACATAAATTAATAATGTTCAAAATAATTAAACTTAAGAATGAATTACCTTGACAAATGTGTTATTGTCCTGTAGTGTTCCAGAGCAGCGTACGGAAAAGAAACGGTTATTAATCTTTTGTTCATAAACGAGCAATGGAAGCTGTTCATAGTAATGTACATTATTTACCAAAATTGTGTGATCCCCCTTTTTACTCCGCATATCTCCGGCACTGAAAGTCCAGTCACGTACAATTTTTCGAACTTGAGGACCCTCAGGGTCGACCAACCGAAACGCTGTGATGTTGGTTCCACCGTATTTAAACTCTTCCAAGTCAACTCCGTGTAAATCCTGCAAAAAAGTTTTAATATGAAATTTCTGCAGGAAGTATGGAAGACGTGATGGCGCATACTTTTAAAGTTTGCCGATTGTTATGCAGAATTCACAGTACAACAGGATGAATCCGCAACGGTTGTGCTCATGAAACGAGAACATCTCCGATGTGAATTTTTAAGGAAAAACTAAACCGTTTAAATCGCATAAATAACAATTCAATTAGAATTCTAATTGGGGAAAATATCAGTATTAGTTAGACAAACTACCAAAACGCCTCTTGTACAATGTATAAATAACCAAACCCTAAAATAATTATTAAAGTTATAAATGCAAATGAAATTAAATACAAACCGTAATAATACTAGATTTGAAACTCAACAACCAAACAATTTGAATGTCTGCTTAATGTTTAAAGTTTTGTGGTAGCTTCCCGATTAAAACTTCAAAGTTATCTGGCAAGCCCGGGTACTAATTTATATTAAAACTTTTAGAGTATTTCATTAAATGCATTTATTTTCCCATGGGGTGCAAAAATTATTCTTCGTAAACCATTGTTTAAATAATACAATATTCTGTTTGCTGTTTACCCTGCTGGAAAGAAAAATGTATTTGTTTTTGTATGAAATATGAAAGCGGTGTTTTGAATTACGGAATATCTTTATGAAGCTTTACAAATTTCAGATAAATCAGATCCTTTTTGGGGAACATAAAGAGCTCTAATACGCCACGTCGCTAAACGACAACAAATAGAGAAATGGAAACCCAAAACGTTTTAGAAAGAAGTACTTTATAGATATTCTTCAAATGTATCTATAAACGTTAATCCCTTCTACGTTTTAAATACACAAAAAGGGTTGTGAAGGAATAAACTTGATCAATATTTCGCTTTATTACAAAAATCGTTAAGAAAAATTGGTTGGAAATTAATAGTTGTAAATTGGCGAAGGATCCATTTACATAAGAAGCTTCAGTAATTGGTTGATTGCTTTAACTCGCTATCGATTAACAACTGAACTTAAAAGATTGGTAAATAAGACTTTCTCTAAATAAATTGAGAGTTCAAAATATCTCGAAAATTCCAAAAGTTCAAAAATCTATATAATTATACATGCTTTCCAATTGTTTAGATACGCTAAGGCTAAGGCGGAAATGGGATGCTCACAGGTAAAGCTGTTAGAGACATTAAATACCAGCTTCCTCGTCCGGCTGTCGTGTCTTGGCCAAGGACTTTGCACGAGACAGAATGGCGCCGTCCTGATACTTATCTACTTCATCAAATCAGCCATGACAGACAACCATGCATGTGTAGTCTGTGGTCATGTCTCACGGACCCTCAATTGGAGGGGGGGGGGTCTTGGCCAAGGAGTCGGCCTCATTACGCCGACGGGCTGGAAGATCGATGTGTAAACCGGTATCTAGTAAGCGAAGGAGGAACTCCAACACCCTTCCTGCTGTATGGAGCTCGTGGGAGTCGCATGGAAGAACCTGATAACATAACAGAGGGTGGTACCCATCTAAGCCCACCAACCAAGGGACCTGTGGGTCCCTGGGGTTCAGAGGCAGTAGTTGCCTCAACCACTGCGGAGTCATTAAGTCCAGATAAGGCTGCAAGTATACCGGGTGGGACTAAAATCTAGTTGAAAGTCAATAGGCTCCCCAAGATGAGCGGTGCTGCAAGGAAACGGTATCGTCGACTGAAGCAAGACAGTGCAGAACTGGCTCAATCAGCCGAGCAAATGGTCCGGCAGCATGTATCTATCCCCGAGAGAAGAAGGTAACTTAGAGAAAGGGAAGAAAATATCCCGGTCTGCCGATATCACACTCGCCCAGATAAAGAAGCAGCGACGCAGGAAGACAAAGGTCCAAGTGGGAGTATGGTTCCACAGGACCCGGTCAATCCCTCTTATAACCTATAAAGAAGCTATACAGGGTAGAAAGGTGGGGATATTGCATGGTAGGTACCTGGGGTGAACCTCATCACAGAAGGAGGGAATTATTGAAACTATCAGAAACCCGGAAGTAGGAACGGTGTGTTCTCAATTCCTAGGTTCTAAGTTCAAACCGAGCTGGTTGCTGGCCAACTGTGAGTTGGTGAGACCACCGCAGAGTGACTCAAAGGAGTGGTGTCAAGCATCAAGTCACGGTAAGGTACGATACTAAGAGCTGTCGATGAGAAAAAACTATTGTGAACGCCTACTTTCCGGACAGCACCAATAAGAGCACGGAGCGTATCCTTGATTTGTTGCAGAAGCAGAACGCCGGTTTAAACATTAAGGAATGGCGAGTGCTGAAGAGACAGCAAGAGAGTGCCCTTGTTTATGTAACGATGACAGTGCACCAACCCTGGCTAACGCGCTTGCAGCAGAAAAGCCTTAGCGCCAGTTTCAAATTTGGACAAGTGGCAATGAAGCCTAAAGGATCTAACAAGCCTAAATCTTCCAAGTGTTAAGCGTCAAAATACGCAACTTTGCCAAATTTGAAATGCCTGCCTCTTACAGTTTCCCAGGTCCCCATGCTCGCCCTCGAATTTAAATTACCCTGTATATAGGTATCTGATTTAGGTAATATAGCGCCAATACGTTTCAAACAAAACAATTTTGAACACCTCGTAGGTACCTACATGTTTCACATTTTTGATAAATTTGTGTTTCCACATTTAAATTATAGAAAGTTTTGAAAATATGAGGAACCAATTTGACGCAGTTCACATTTCCTTGGAGTTCTAGGAAAATCATTCAAAATTCTCCACCAAATTAATCTTAGTGTCATCCTATAATGAATAGTTGAATAACTTATGTAGAACGCTCCGGAACTCGAAACCGAAACTTCCAAGCACGTAGTGCCCTAAGCCAGCATCAATGGCCAAACAAAGAATGGAAACAAAAGGCCAAGCGGACCCCTATCTATACATCCAAATTACCATAATTCCTGTATATTTTACGCCAAATGGTACAAAGAAATAAATCAACCAACCAACTAAAAACGAAGCCACAAAAATCTTCATACGGGAGAGGGTATAAGGGGTCCTAATGGCCTTAAAACTTTTTAAGGTGCCTGGCGGAGACGGTATCTCTCCAGTACTCTTCCAAAAGGTTGTTGGACATATACTGCAAACTATAATAAGAAAGTTACCCATTTAATCCCATCGAAATTGGACCACACTGTACATACCATAAAAGTAACAAAACTACACGGCATGAGTTTTGAACTACAAGGTGTATAGTATACAGGGTGACAATTTGAAAACTTACCACCCCCCATATCTTAGTAAATAAACAAGATATTAAAAAAAATGAAAATCCGTTTCGGTAATTCGGAGGGGGAATCACAATTACATAGTTGGCGACGCACCCCCTCACACACCCTGCGCCTCAGCCACCCCAACTTTTAAATCTTAAATAGTGACCCCCCATGTGTGATACGTCGTTGGAAAGCTCTGAAAAAATGCTTTCCAACCATACCCAATAGCATTACATTTAGGTTAGTAATTATCGTGCAAATCAAAAAATAGACTAATATGATACGTTTTCTAAAGTGGTTATTTCAATAAATGTTCAAAATGGTTTCCGTTCTTGGTAAGACCGAGGGTAAGACAGTATTACTATGCGATCAAAAATGAGTTGCTGTCGAGTCGCCCTTTGAAATTTTTGTTTACATGGAAAATCGTATTTAACTTGAACTTTCAAAGCCGACTCGACAGCAACTCATTTTTGATCGCCAGTTATAATCTATTCTCAAACTCTTGTCGAACCTTTTCAAATGTTCGTTTTGCAATATTTCGACATTCTTGAATTATTCTCTGTCTTAGTTCGTCTATGTTCGCCGATTGCGTTTTAAATACGACAGATTTCAAATGTATCATATTAGTTTATTTTTTGATTTGCACGATAATTACTAACCTAAATGTAATGCTATTTGGTATGGTTGGAAAGCATTTTTTCAGAGCTTTCCAACAACGTATCACACATGGGGGGTCACTATTTAAGATTTAAAAGTTGGGGTGGCTGGGGCGCAGGGGGTTGGAGGGGGTGCGTCGCCAACTATGTCATTGTGCTTCCCCCTCCGAATTACCGAAACGGATTTTGATTTTTTTTAATATCTCGTTTATTTACTAAGATATGGGGGTGGTAAGTTTTCAAATTGTCACCCTGTATAAGCGTCTAAAAAGATGGTAGAAGAGTAAGAAAAATCATCATCAGATTATTTCAATATTTAGTTAAGTAAACTGGGAGGAGGGGGGGAGGGGGAGAATTACGAATAAGCACTGAATTGGTTTATTCCATTTGTTTGTATGTCTGTAGTGTTATTTTTTCATTTTAGAATTGTTTGTAATTGTGTGTGTGTGTGTTTGTTTAATTTTATCGCTTGTGTAAATTGTTTATTTGGATTAGTGTATTTGATTGTAAAAGTAAAATTGAATGTTAAAATGTGGGAACATCAGGGCAACTTTTACCTATTTTTTTATTTGAAATGCACGTCAAATTCACGACCGGATTATTAGGCTTCTTAAAACGAAAAAACTAAGTAATTTAAGGTTTTTTTGTTTTTTAATTGTCTGTAAGCTTCTCCAGGAATATTATTTTAATTTTCAATTAATGTGTAAGTAATTGGTTTTGCGTATCCAACATTTATTTCAGGTATTGATCAAAATTTGCTAGTAAATCTTTTGGAATGTTCGTTGATCGATTCCCGTTAATTATTAATTTAGGACATTTAGGTCAATATTAGCACTTTTCTTTGTAGCAGATGCCGGAAATGTACGAGGAAAAATTATAAAATTGTGTTTTCTTTTGCGTATTTATGGGGTGCAAAAAATATCCTACTATTAGGTATTGAGAACGAAAGTTAGATTGCACAGACGTTTTATGGAACTTATCAAGGGTTTGTCCTTAAGAAACGTTGCTACGCCAACATATAAGAAACTTGAATGTAAGTGCATTCTGGAGAATGTTAGAATTGAAATATTTGGCACAATTTCAACCAAAACAAGAGAAATCACGTTTCTACCATATCCG